CCGGCATGACCCTCGAGGCTCTCGCCAAGCCCGGTATCCAGGACCCCGCTGTCGCATGGAGCGTCTTCCAGGCCCTGTGGACCGAACTCACCGCCACGGCCCCGGCCGCTGGCTTCGAGAAGGGCTTCAAGCCCCGTCCTCCCATGCTCGTGACCCTGGACAACCTGGCCCACTGGATGAAGGAGACCAAGTACAACAACATTGACTGCAAGCCCATCCACGCCCATGACCTCGTCTTCGTCCAGCACTTCCTCTCCCTCCTGAAGCCCAGCACCGAGGCCGGCAAGCCCTCCCTCCCCAACGGCGGTCTCATCCTCTACGCCACCTCCGGCTCCAACAGCCCCACCGTCTACGGCTTCGAAGTCGCTCTCCAGCAGCTCGCTGCCCGCCAGGCCGGCATCAAGCCCACCTCTCCGGAATTCCCTCAACCCGACCCCTACCTCAACGCAGACAAGCGCGTCCTCGCCGTCTTCAACGACTCCGCTTCTACCAAGTCCCCCGCCTCCAAGGACGGCTCTCTCGAGCTCCAGACCATCGGCGGTCTCACTCGTGACGAGGCCCAGGGCTTCATGGAATACTTCGCCCGCAGCGGTCTCCTCCGTGAGAACATCACCGACACCTGGGTTGGCGAGAAGTGGAGTTTGGCCGGTGGAGGCGTTATTGGTGAGCTCGAGAAGCTCGGTAGACGGCTGAGAGTCATTGCTTAATGGTCTATTTCCATCTCCCCCATGGCGTGCATTAGAGACACTCTGTATGTGTATGTAAAGATTATACTGGCTTGCCCATGTGGTTATCCCATTTTTGTTGTCTTCTTTCTTATCTCCCCATTTTCTCTTTTTTTCCCTGTGACCCTCCATCCTGCTGTGCCAATGGATGGATTCGAGACATCTATCTATCTATCTATCTCCCTGTATTGTATTTTATCTTACTATCTTGATCATTTTGGGCTTCTTGCGCGTTTCGTCTTCGTCCCTCTGTTCTGTTTTGTCTGTATGCATATAATGAAATCTCGAAAATATGTGCTACTCTCCCCTAAGCTGTCTAAGTTGGTGTAACAAGTCTTAAGTTGTTCGGTAGCTTATCTCGGCTTTTCTTTATAAGGCCGTTCAGGAAGTGTGCATCGTATGTGCATAGTCTACTATAACACTATAACAAGAGAGGGGATTGAAGATGATTGATAGTACTTAATGAAGAAGAAATGCCACTGTACAATGCGGAGAGAGTAATCAAGAAATAACAACAGATCACACGCCAAGTAAACGAAGCAATTCGAAGAGTAGTGTAGCGGGGATGGCTCAGTGGCCAAACATCATCAGCTTTGACATCAATTGTATAGATTTATATAAAGAATAGAAACAAACAGACTATATCACCAAGATCGTATCTGTATCCTTTGTCATGATGGTTTCGCTTTTTTCTTCTGTCGCGTACTTTCAGGTCGCTTGTTTCTTGTTAGGTGGGTGGTGGTGGTGGTAGTATATATGTTTCATCGAGATGAGGCCCGCCACAGTTGCAAGGTCCTCCGAGAGCACGTTCCAGAGTGCTAGTGGAGACACCCGTATCGAGAGTATGAAAATACGGGATGCGGATCTCATCACCTTTCTTGATGTCTTTGAATGACCACAAGATGATCAGATTAGGGTTCTCGTCGCCGTAATAGGCCCAGCTGGCGTTGTATTTAGTAGGACACGCATGGTTGAACAGACTGTGTCCAGGATATAAATATAGTTTGGAGAAAGTGGGCCAAAAATTTGGTAAATTATCAGTCGTCAGGTCAGCTTCCACTTTTGGCAAGGGTTTACTCTTGATAATGTTCGTCTTTTGGAGACGCTTACCCCCGCAGGGGATGGCGTTGACAGTCAGCTTCTTCAAAATGAGTTGGATGACCCAGGTGTCGAAGCTAAGGTCGCGGAAGATGTCGACGCCGAGTTGTAAGAGGATATTAAAGGGGACATGGACGTTGGCGGTCAGGCTGAAGGGAAACCTTCGATTGGTCCAGTTATGGGGGTTTTCAAGCGCGACAAGCTCGTCGATTTCGTGCGCCATGAGGTTGGGATCTTGGGTTTCTCTTCGGTGAAGGGTGATGTCAAATATTTCACGCAGGAGGAGACTCAGTAAAGTCGCCTGTGCTTCAAACGAGTACTCGTAATGGGGACGTTTGTCGAGGCCCACGACTCTTACGGGCCGCATGGAGTCGTGTAGCCATTTCCAGTCTTCACCACAGACACGATAGTGATACCGTGCTCGAGCATTCTCGACGCAAGTTGGATCATCATCGTTTAGCGCAGGGCAGAATGGGATGGGGAAAGGCTGTGTGATACATTTGCATGCTTCACGGACATTCCCTTGTCCGAATTCACGAGTGTATTCCTCCAGATGCTCGGCGGGCAAGGTTCTCCGGCAATTGTCACACTTTAATGGTACCGCTTTGATGGGTAGCTTTGGCAGCTCGAGATGGCCTCTGATTGGGGGATTTTCGACAAATATGACCTCATTCTTTGCAATATCCTCTGTCGCAACCACTTTCAGTTGTGTGTTACCTTGATCATTGCTGGCGGCAATCTTGCACTTCTTCCAAGGGAGGCTTCCATTCTGGTTGAAAAAGGCATCTGTTGCCTTATCCGTAAAGGCGACTGCAGCACGATCGATGTCGTCTGCGTCATGGGGATATATCCTGTCTCCTGAAGTGTGTCCGGCTCGTGATTCGTAATAATAGTACTCAGTATTTGCCTTGGCCGTCTTGGCTCTGTCAGCAACGGATTTCATGACTTTGGCGCGCTCTTGAAATGGCATCAAGTCACGGTCCGCATTCACTGTCCTAGCTCTAAGAAGACGACCCCTTGTTTCATAGTCGTCCCAACACTGGAGCGCCATGAGACTAAGAGCAAGAACGTGCTGGGTGGCCTTCCGGATAGTGGGTACGAAGAAATTAACCCCATTGAACCTGCGAAACAGTGTAGCTTCTGCAGATAAATTACCCGTGATAGGATCTCTAGGTTGAACCATAATATGCTGTTCCAGAGCGTGCCATATCCGCGTATAGAGCCCAGGCTGGAGACTTCGCCGATGTGCATCATAAAGAACGTCACAGAGATATTCTGCTCGATAAGCATCCCCGATGGCAAGGTCAAAAAACGCTTGTTGGTAATGGCAGTAAGCCCGGCTCAGCCAATAAGCTGGGTTATATGGGCTGGCAAGAATAGCACAAGTGTACATATCCAATGCACCTATACCATCATCGTCGCTGATCTCGATAGTGTACTTTCGCGCGTCATCTCTGTGGACACCCCATTGCGACAGATCACTCCGAGGCAGGACGCGATATTGATGATACACTTTGCGTTTATAGTCCTGAAGTCGCCGGCGTAATACGGGAACCGTCCCTTCAGTTGAGAGGTTTCGGCTCCCTAGGGCGGCTCTTAGCTGGAGGGCCTTCATATCCCTGATAACCTGCCCGTCCACCTCATTAAGATCTTCCGTGGCTTCCCCAAGATCGAGACCCTGCCCTTCAAAGATGTCGCGGAATGACCAGACCCTGTTGTTCAGCCCGGAATTGGTCCATTCCCTTTGCCAATCTGTGGGATTAATTGGCGTTAGGAATCTTTCGTCGTGCATCAAGTGGTCATAGACATTCCTTGCGAGCGCATGTGCTGCGGGATTGTCGCCCGCATCCCTGGGCTGGGTATAACGGGGTTGCTCTCCTAGGCTGTCTCCAAGTACAGTGTCCGGAAGGGACCAGAAACGATGCGCGATCCTTGCATCTTCTCTGCTCACATGCGGTGCCCATTTTGTTTGATCAAAGAGATCAGGCCTTGGGGGAAAGGCATATAGGTCAGAGTCATCGTTATCATCGTCGTATGGACGTTTGGACATGATGCTGCCAGTTGAAGCACCTAACCTAGTTTCCGAGACGTGGCTCGTAGCAAAATAGATCAGACTTCAGGCGAGCCTCGTCAATAGTGTACTAATAGAAGGACTGCTGGGTATCCAAGAATATCGCTTCTAGTATGTGCTGCTGCCTTGCACGGGGGTGGAAGAAGCAAACAGAAAGCTTGGAAATGAAATGATAGTCGGGGCAGATAATGTAAAGGAAGTAGCAGCCGCGCTTTATAATGCGAGCTTGCTTGACTGATGAATCTCTGGTAAATATCTTTTTTGAGAGGCTATAAATAGAAGAGGAGATATCATCATGAAAGAACCTCATAAAGAGGATGTTGTTCCATAAAGTTACAAATTCTTTGTAGGCGTCGCCATTGTGTGCGCGAATAAGAACCACCAATTCAGAGAGAATCGTAGCAGTATATTGAGCTCGTTGACATTGTTCATTTTGAGAGAGTGATAGATGGATCAGGGTTTCTGGGTTCAAACTGTAATCGGTAGATCTATGAAAGAGTAGTATAATATAGGGTATTATATCCCCACCGGCATGACTGACAATCCAACCAATAAGTAAGTATATGATGACTCTCTGCAGTGGGTTCATCAGTGTATTTATCTGAGTCAGTATCTCATGATGGCTATTCTACAAGCAACCCAGGATTGATTTGGTCTAGCATTATATCTTAGATAGTAGGTATACTTAAGTTGGTAGAGGTGCTGGTGGACACTGGGACGATGGCAGTTCATGATGGTGGAGCAAGTGCGGGAAACGCAATGAACTAGTAATAGTAGCGGCGTCACTGAATGGTGGATATAAATGGATCGTGGCAGGGACGATAGCATCCATTGGATTGAAATTTAGCGACTCGGCAACTTTCAAGCGTGAAGCTCTGCTGCTCCTGATTCTCCCCAGAGCTGACATTATTTTGGTCACTTGCATGATTGAGAAGAGGGCAAGAGGGAAGGGAAAGAAAAGACAGGAAAGAGCGACAGACAGAGAGAATAGGAGAGAAAGATAAGGCACAGAGAGTGAGTGACCTCCTTTCCGGTCAGCCGATCTGCCTCGTGGCCTGCCTTAGGGAGCAGCTTGTCGCTTGAGGTCATCCCTCCTCCTCTTCATCTCTTCTTCTAGTAAAGATTCATCGGGGGAAGACGACCTTGCGGAAGGCCTTTTACTTCTTCTTTTCTGTCTCTTCTTTATTTTTTTCTTTTGCGACCAGCATCAACGTAGCGGAAGAGTTCCTCCCCACCTCCAAAGATGTATGGGTCGCAAAGTTCGGGTCCTCCGCAGCCCGAATGGCGTCTGCCTTCTTCCAACACGCAGCAATCGGCTTCATCTCGCCATCATCCTCCGCAACAACCATCATGGCGCGCTTCTTCCCCGCCCCCTCCACCGCCTCCTCCGCGTCCGACAACTACATCATCATCTCTTTACAACCCCACCATCTACGGTCAAATTTCCAATCCTCCTTCAGCAGTTAATGTTCATCCGGGTACAAGCATATCCCCCGTTTCTGCCGTTGCAGGCTCCGACACCACTTCATGGGGAGTCAAGTACAACAGGCACCAACTTCATGCGCAGTCGCCCCCACCACTACCCGTGAGTGTTGTTGGACATTTATCAATTTACCCCTGATGGGCTCGCAATATTCTGACGAGCATAAACCAATTAGCCGCGGCCTTCAAGCACGGCGCAATCACCACAGGCGCAGTCTCCAGTTGTGAGCCCGCTAGACCCAAACAAACCTTTACCAGCTGCTCCAGGCTGGGCGACCCAACCAGCGGATAATACATCCTACCAGCAATGGCCATCGAATCCTCCATATGCTCCCCAGCAATCTGTCAGCGCTTCGCCGTTACAGCCTCCACCACCGCCCCCGGCTAATTCCACTGGTTACCAGAGCCCAAATGCCCAGCAGAGCAACCTATGGCAGCAACCACCTCCGGTTCCTCCTCCTCCCTACTCTGGTGCCCCCCTGGGTCAGTATCACGATCACGATTCCTCGGTGCAGCAGCCAGCGACTTTGCCAAGCCATCCACAATTCACCGGCAACAATGCACCTAATCTGGCCATTTCCCAAGCTCCACCCCCCAAGCCAAGCACTCCAGTATCTTATGAGAGCCAGCCACTACCCGGGCCTCCGCAGGCTCCTGTGGCTGCGGCTTTGAGTACAGCACATGGAACACCGCCCGTCGTTCCTCCACCGGTGCCTCCCAAGACCAGCCCTCTCAATGCCCCGACTAGCGCTTCTGTCCTAGCCTCTGGCGGGCCCTCAGACTGGGAGCACCTGACACCCACTCCAGGGAGTATTGATGATTTAGGTGCCTTTGGCTCTCGGCCCCAGGATGGGCCCTCTTCGGGCCCACAGTCACAGGTGCCTCAGAGTCGCCCGACAAATATTGAAGAGCCTGAGAGAAAGGCTGAATCTGTCAGCCCTATAACGCCTCCTAGTGATTCATTCCAAACAACGAGTCAAACTGAAGGCCCTTTGACTAGTCAGACCGTGGTAAAGAGTACTCCACCCCAACCAGTCAGGATGGATAGTACTGGATCTGTTCAGAGTAACAACTCCACTTCTGAAACCGCTGAAAGCATTGACGGCATCATCGAAGCTTGGAACCGTCCTATCGCGCAAACATCAGCTGAGCAGAATCCTCAGAGCTCAGTGTCTCGGGTCAGCACAGGCATTTTGCCTCCTTCGCGGAAGCAGAGCCCAATCGAGACCCCGACGCCTAGACAGGAATCGATAATTCCTCGAAAGCAAGTTCAGTCTGGGTCAAGCTCAGTGGAGTCGAACAGTGTCACCAACGGGCCAACTACGGATAAACGGACAATCCTCCCTGCCTTTGTACCACTCGATCCGTACGATGATCTCGATCCCTGGTCAAAATCCTCCTTGGAACGTTATGTCGCAATGCTTCGAAAGGAGGCAGTGGCTGACTCCGATGCGGAGCGTTTCAATATATTCACAGCATTTATGGCCAAGGAGACCAAACTACGAGAGATCCTGTTCAACATTGAGCCTGAACCGGCGCTAGTGGATGAGAATCTCAAAGAGAGTCCGTGGCAACAAACGCCCACTCCACGCGCATCGACCAAAGACTCGAACGATGACGTGGGATCCGGTCTGATACCAGTCGAAACCGAAGGCAGCCATGTGGTCTCGAATAGTGGGGATGACGACTCGGAAGATGGCAGCTACAGTCCTGGAGGACGTCCCATTCTTCCCAAAATACAGACACCCAGCGTAAAAAAATTACAGAGATCTGCCTCGCTTACAGGGAGCAATAAATACCACACTGATTTTGTCGCTCATGCTACGTCGTCACGAGCGACATCAGTGCCACCCTCCATGCTCGGTGATGCCCGACATGAACATGCCTTACCCCCTCTGACCACCAACCCTCCACAGCCGATTTATACCCCGTTTCGCTATACTGAAGGCCCCCAACGAGGCTCTGATGTACTTGTGTTTGATCGGCCTGCATATCAAGCCTATTCCGACCTGCGGCAGGCGTCAGCTGAGAGTGGGCGGGTAATGTCGAACGCTCCAGCACCTACTCCCGGAGATAGACCGGGTTCAGCAGTGCCCCCGCGTCGGAACGAATTTGATGAAACGTTCATTGGGCTGATAAGGGAGAAGAGCGTTGCCTACCGAAAGAGCGCACCCCGGAAAACGTCCTCTCCGCCACCACTGCCGGCTTCTCTCAGACATGGAAAGCCAGCTGGTCCAGTTGACGACTTGCGGTCCATGGCTTCATCGCCGATGTCCAAACAATCGGAAAGCTCGTGGAATATGACGACTAGGAAGGATCTGGAGAATTACTCCAATGACTTCTCGTACATCAGGGAGGCGGTAAAGTCTTGGGAAGTTTCAAGCAAACCGCGCAGAGAGCAATTGGATAGGGAACGGATTCAACGCCAGGAGGTGTCGGAGAAGCGCATCGATGCGCTCTTCAATGGGAAGGAGATTGGCTATGCCGATATCAATGTACTGGAGGAGGAGTTCCGTCAGAAGGAGGCTCGTGCTCAGCTAGACGAAGAAAGACAGGAGTTGGACAAGTTTGTCGCCGATGTTTTCGAGCCTTTGGATCAACGCTTGAAAGAAGAAATAGCTGCGCTTCAGGCGCTCTACGAAGCCGCGCTTGCTCAACTTGATCATGAAAATGGACGGGTCAAGTCTGCGACCACTGACAGGTACAATCTGTCGCACACCATGAGGACGGTGAATGAAATTTATCGCAAACTCGAGCTACGTTACCAAAAACGTCTCGAAATTGCTTTGGATCGGGAGCGCCGGCGGAAGAAGGCTGAGAGGCGGCCTCTTGTTTTCATGGGCGACTCCGTGGCCCTGAAAGGCGTGGATCACGATTTTGACCAGATGGAGAAACGCAACATCCTGGAAGCGGCTAGAGAGCGAGATAATAGAGCTAACCGTCTGATGGACTCGTTTGACGATGCCATCATGCACGGGTTGGGTGAAAACCAGAGCCTCCTTGACGAAGTTGCTGCGAAGGTGGCCAAGGTCGATACCGCGACCATTCGCTCGTCGGGGCTGCCAGACTCCGAGGTGGAACAGTTGCTGAAATCAGTATACAACCTGATTGAGTCTTTGCGTAAAGATTCTGAGTCCATCTTGCACCAATTCAATATGGCTGATTCGGTACTCAACGATGCTGATTACAGTGTTTCTGTGGCCGAGGCACGTTATTCAGACGCCGATGCGGATGTTTTCCGCCGGCTTGATGATGAGAAAAGGAAGGAAGACGCAAAGATCCAAGCGGATCTCAAGTCCAAACTCGAAAGTATCAGGTCTGGGCCTGCAAATATAATCACTAGCATAAATGGTCTCCTGGAGTCTTTAGGCAAGCCTCCTATAGTTGATCAAACTGGTTCTTCATCACAGATGCCTGCCGATACGCTAGCGCCGGTATCCCAGCATCTCACGACTGATATTGCACCACGGAAGCCCGAAGAAGATCCCGAGCATCAGGAGAGGCTTCGGAAAGCATTGGAGAATGCCAAAAGGAGAAATGCGGCGAGGATGAACACTGAAACAAGCCGCCCTTGAGGATAGCTATTAATTACTTTCTGCCAGACAGGCATTTGACGACATGACGAATTTCATATTCTGTCTCTAGTAGACAACGGTAGATGCTTTTGGTTTTTAGTATTAGCTTTCTTTCTCCGCACTATTACCCGTTTCTTTAGTCGTTCTGTATATGATTAATACTATAAGCGTGTACACGCTCTTACAAGTTCATTTTTACAGAGCTACGTACAATCAAGAGAGGCCGAGAGTATATGATTCACTGTCTCATTGCTAATTGTATTGAGCTTCTTGAAGTGAGAGAGTAGAAGAGCCGGCGTTGGAAGGAGGCTCTTGCTGCCAGTTGGTCACGGGTCCAGCTCCCCACAAGACAACTCGCAGTCACTTTCGGTCAAACACCAAAGATTTCCGATTACGCAGAAATTACAGCCACATTGCGCTCCTCTGCTGAATGGATCATGGTTCTCTGGCGCCATTCGTTTACATGACGAATTCGAAACAGCAGTCCCACGTTCAGCGCTAACTGAGGAGTGGCCGAGCACCTTTGGCTGTGATCCTCTATTTCCTCTTTGGCGCCGTCAGGGTTCTACTCCACTTTGAGATAAACATACAATAATATGGTGAGCAATGAGTAATTCTTCGTGAATACCTGGGAGCTGATTAATCCGGTGAGAGCAGAAGTTTCAATCTCATCAAACTGGGACCCAGTTTACGGAGCCCAAGGCATGCACTATGGGTAATACCGGAGCTCCCAGAGCCAGAGACCCCATTGTTACGTTATCGGGAGGGAATTCAAGCATTGATACACACCAGAATTTACGAATGCTTGCCAGTCTTGCGGTGGCATGGAAGGTAGCCACGGTAAGAGGATAGGTGGAAGCACCGCACACAGCCTCAGGGTGGCTACTCTCTTTGTTCCAGTGGTACAGGCTTGCGCTGCACTGAATGTCGCAATCTAGTCCAGCTCGGTGTCTCCGGTGGTGGCAGAGGGAAGGAGAGATAGGCGTTCCGAGTGTGTGGTCGAGAGAGGGGCGCCTATTAATTCCTTCCCGCAAACTCTCTACAAGCGAATCGTGGGTCGAGTTCACCCACCATGGAAATCTATAGTATCTGAAGACCCAGTTCTGAGGCAGCGCCGCTTGTGCCACATGGAGAGAACGTCTAATCAGGCTGCATAGTGCCGCAGATGTGGTACGAGAGAGATTGCGGCGCATCACGAAGTCCGGTACCCTTACTTGCGGCCTAAGGCGGATACGACAAATTGGAACCCGCGGCCCAGAAGTTCTCCCTCCGACTCGATTACGAGGCTGAGGAAGGGAGATCCCTATCTTTCGGCCATTTGATGGCGTAGAAATGCAGTGCCACAAGATGCATACGTATCACAGGGAAGGATAATCGATAGTATAATTTTCCACCATAGGAATCCGTGCGTTGGATACAGCAATATGCTGTCATGATGTGAAGAGGAGTTGCGCAGCTTGCGGCAATACAATCCGAAGCCAGTGCTTCGACCGCGTCCCCTTTTTCCTAGCGGTTGCCGCCTGACATTGGAGCCTGTGCCAACTGATCAAGTACCTGCTGCAACGGTGCAGATTGTCAAGGGCCTGTGCAGTATTCCTTCGACACATTTAACTATGTTTACAGGCTGGTTGGATGTGCCAACTCGGCTGCACATTATGATTCGTACACATAAGTGCGCATGATCGCCGTTTGGCTCTTAATATGGTTCAGCCGGGAGGATCCTGTGATTTCATGGTTCTCCTGCCGCAACTTCTGATCCTATAGCTACACGAAATCTCTCTCCCAGCATCCCACGCAGCTTGTAATAGCTCTACATCTGTGGCGCAGAATCCTCATGTCTCCTGTGCCAAGTGGGTGGGCGTTAACCGGACACACTAACCGCAGATTGGAAATCCCAGATCATTGTGGAACGTGTATGCTTGAGTATATCCAAACGATGGCTCATTTACTCATTATGCGGCAAAGTCGGGGCCACTGACGGCGGGTCCCAAGGCTCAGTGGTTAGTCAAAATACCAACGGTAGTTCATATGGAAGCTTCTATTGTCTCTTTGGTCGCTGTGGCAGAGGCGATTGCGGCAAGCTTGGAGCAGTTGCTGGTACAATGTACCCGCTTCCTTCCTTGGTTCGGAACAAACTCTATATAAACTGACCGGTCTCGCCTTAGAGGCCAGCAAATACAAATCCAAGCCAGGGGACACACAAGCCACAGTAAATTCCATTGCCATATAACTCTCAATGTCTGCTCCCACCAGACAGTTTCACGACCTCTCAATAACAGGCAACATGCCGACGACACGCTCCCATCCCGAGAAAGAGCCACACACAGATGATAGCGACAGCAGCGAGCTCCTGAGAAGCGAAAGTGATGAGAGTCATGCTGAGGGGGATTCAGCTGCGTCTTCGTCCGTACGAGGCAAGTCAGGGATCACCTATGATCTCGCCAGGCTTGACTCCGACACCGAAGCCAGGGCTCTCGTTGGGTTAACGAGTCAGTTCAAGGTAGTCAGCTGCTGTACGACACGAACAGGGTTTGATTTCCAATTCATTGAGCAGCCCCGAGTTCATCTCGGTTCAGAGGGGTATACGTGCACCTGCTCGACCTTCTCAGGCATGCCCAATGTGGCCTGCCAGCACATTTTCGTGAGCAACCTCATGCCCCCACCTTGAGTAAAATTTTCCTTTCTCTTCCGGTATCCTAACACCAAGTGAAAGTGGCTTCTTGATCAGCTTCATGGCTGCTTTGTCCCTCAACCGCCTCCCTCCGACATTCTTCTGTCGAGCGATGGACGTCTTCCGAACTTTGGTCGCGTTGAACAACTGCTGGATGGCAAGCTGGAAACCATTGCGGATCAGCTGTGTTGGCAATATGTTCGCTCCGAAGCCGAGGGGGGAATGAGCCGACAGGACATAGTCCGGGACATTTTGTCGGCCTTTAGTCCGGTGATACTGCCTAAGGAGTTCCGTCTCGATCTTGTTGATGATGCAGGACAGTCGCGTACCCCTGAGCAGTGTGTTGTACAGGGAGACTTTGAAGCCACAATGTTTCGGCTCGCCGTGCACGACGATGGTGTGTATTCCAGTCTATGCAAGGCGATGCCCATTGCAGCTTGCGCGGTCATCTTCTTTGACAAAGTGCATCAGAGATTGCGGAAGCTACTAGCAGACTTCGACCGCTACTGCCTTACAGGACAAGCTTCAAATGAGGCTAGAGATTTGGACGTGGAGGCTGTCATTTCAAAAATTCAAGAAAACGTCGACCGCGTCTGGGAAAACATTATCGCTCGAGCACCGCACGGTATGGAAGGGGCTGCGAAGACTTTGGTCACATTGCTGGAGGATATCTGCGGCCGTAATAAGGATGCGCTGGAGGGGAACGAACGTGGCCGAGTGACATTCCACGGAGAGGACGAGGATCAACGCAATCTCTTCCACCAGCTTATTGGCAAGGCCGATGAAACTGGTGAATTCTTTATTCTTGATGCCCTAGAGCATGTACCGGCTATGGCGCTCCACCAATTCGTGGGCAGGTTGAAAGCTATTCTACATCGGATTGAAGTGGATCGAGCTCCCAAGGCCTATATACTGAGACTCGATGCTTTGATACGTGCTGCGGAATCACCTCTTGCCAATGCTGGTCAAAAGCGACCGTCTTCGTCTACAAGCCGGGGCTACAGCAAGCGCACGCGGTGAGGAATCTCAGGGTTTCATTCCCCTACTTTGGAGGGGCCAGTTGATTTGGTTATTGTTATTGCATGGTTGTTTGGGGCGGCTTTGTCATTGATACGCATTATACACCACTGTTTGCATTACGGAGGCGCGAGACTGTTTCAATTCGATTCACCTGATAGATAAGCTACATCAATTCTCCTGTGGCCCTACTATCCAGCTGGTCTGGCATCAGCACTCTGCCCATGACGTGATAGCATTTCCTTTTGCCTCTTAGCTTCTGCTTTGTCCCTTGTGCAAGGGAACAGCACCGCCACGGGCTACCACGGTACCTGTCCAACTTTGTTAGCGGGATGTGACACACGCACCAAAGCAGCTCCCAGACAGACCCATGGTTGCATTCGTACCAGAGGAATGTGTCCTGGCATGATCAGCCAACCTTAATACCACCCACTGCGTGCTTCAGGTCCCGAGGGAACGGTTCAAATTCCGAACGGCCGCCCCAGGACCAAGGTTATCAACCCCAAACCGGCCATTAAGCAAGGGACAACAGCCTGGTGTTCCCTCGCACCCAACTACCCATTCCAAATATACACTTTCTCTGGTATCGTTGAATGAATCGCTGGGTCGGATTCCCCGACGCAAAGCGACCCTTTCAGAATCTGCTTAATGACGTCTATCGACCTCGCTAGCTATCGTTACTTCTGGTAGCTAGACCAATAAGCTTCCTCCCGGAGAAAGTTTCACATGTCCTACTACTACATGCCCATGTCTGCCTGAGACCCTCCTTCCCAGCTGCTCGGTACGCAGGCCCGTGGACTCGGGACTGAGCAGGAAGAGTCGTTGGACAGGAATTGCGCAGCAGTACGTAGTTATGAAGTTATCTACCATCGAAATGCAAGCATTGAGGGAACTGTTCGAGTAATTGATCCCTTCCTTCGGAGTCGCTGTAATTCTTACGAATGAGCTCATTGCATTGCTACTACGTAGCTATACTGAATACTTTCCCGTCCTTTTTCCACTAATCAAATCCTCTTCCTTCATTCCGGATAATTTACCCCTTCGCAGTATACCTCAAGCAAGCTAAAATGTGATGCCACCACCTCCGTCCAGCACTAATCCCTACAACAAGACTAGTTGACTAGATAGATAAACTTCAATAAATACTACCCTGCAGATCCTCCGTAACACCACAACCCAATCAATCCCCCAGCAAAGACGAGTAAACCAACACAATTCCCCGCAATCAGCAGCACAAAGAAAAAATAAAACCATTCCAATGCCACCTAAAGACTAGCACCACACACCCATCCCAACAGACAGACAGAACATCCCCCCGGAAATAAGCGGCTTTAAGCACAAGAATCACCGGGCCGCCCGCCACCCCACCACCGCGTTATTTTGTGTGTGAGAGAAAAAGAGCATTTGACTTTAGGCCTGGCTTATGTAGCCAAAGATCCACCGGTTATTTCATCAATTGGCCGGCTGGCCCAATGGTAAGGCGCTTGACTACGGATCAAGAGA